AATATTTATTATCTAATTATTATGTGAATATAAAGTCCCTATTGAGTAAGGGTACATTTTCATTGTATTGTGATGAGGGTTTTTGAAGGATCAATAAATATTTTTATCAGAGAGGGGTTTTGTCGATATTATAGTAATTTCAATAGTTGAATTTATGAGTCACTTGAAACTAGACCACCTTGAGAAAACTGGAATCCTCAGTGGTGCCCACCCATGATCTCACCTCACGAGATTCGAACCCAGGACCTGTCGGTCTCCCGTGTGAGCGCCTAACCAACGGCGTTAATGTCTAACTTCAACAAACCCACGAACTTGCACCACCATCCACTGATAGGTTTTGGGTCTAAATCTCGCGAGGCGGGATCATGGGTGCACAACACTGAGGATTCCAGGTTTCGCTTGGTGGTCTAGCTTTAATTTACTCATGAATTCAACTGTTGAAACCTTCATTTGTATCACTTATTTGCATTCTTAATTCGTATCATTAGGATTCTCGTGATTTCTTTCTTCAAGTACTTAACAACTTCTGAAAATCATGAATCAGTTAGCAGTTTTTTCATCATAGTTTTAGGCTCTCGTATAGTGTTCATCTAATACACGAACAGGATAGAACCATAAATTGCTATTTGCTATACTATGAGTGTGTTATTTTCAAGTTCAGTTAGTTATCAAGCTTACTATATTATATCAGCCAATTTTAGATGTGTTCTCATTCGCACGTCAACAATAAGTGATTACCAATTATTTTGTGAATAATTCTTCGCGGTGTAACACAGTTCATATGTATTGGTTTGATGATTTTAATCTCCATGAGAATAATAACCTGAAAAGAAAAAACAAACTCTTCATTTGTTATTACATAATATGTTTGATGATATTCTCATATTGAATATAGTCATAAAGGATCAAATTGTTGAAAACAAGCATTTTCATATTTAATTTGGCATCATTTAATACTTTTCGAGAAAGCATCCATCATTGACAGATAATTCAATGATTGTTATCTTGGTTTCCTCAATATACTAACATGGAATACGATTAATATGAAAACTACTAATATAAGCCTTGTAAAAAGATTAGCTATTCCATCGTTAATTAGAAGGAATCTTTCTTAATGCATAGCTTTGAAAGATGATCTTGTTTTGCAGACCAATGTATCAAATCTGTTTGGCTCACTTCTAAAATTTGTTTAATGATTGTTGTATTTAGTGATTTCTTGTTATGTGTAATGAAGTGACTTATAGTGCCTGATTAACTCATTATCACTGTCACAGACTGTGAAACTGCATAACATAGCTATGAATCCATGAAAAAACTACAACTTTCTGAAAACTGTAACCTTGTTTTGCTAATGTATGTTAACCAACTTAGAAACCTAAATGAAATAGATTCTCCTGCCAACTACTTTCAACCACATAATAAAATGATACTTAGGCTATTTACCACTGACATATCTTTAAACGAATGAAAAAAGATCGACTATTAGAATAAAGATTATTGAAGCGTATAGATTTCGATTTTAATTCAACACTCATAATCTAATCAATGTTATAATAATTCTTATCTTCAGTGTATGTGTAAAGATTTTCTCTTAAAACAAACAAACAAACAAAATAATCACCTTTAATTACCATATTAATCGATATGTTGGAAACAAATTTAAAAAAAAAAGAAAGAACAACAACGAGAAGAGAGTATGGCCAAGAAAATGTATCCTTCAAAAGATAACATGGATCAAATATCTAATCAATACAGATCAAATTAAGTGAGGCAATACTCATCTAATGTTCTATCGATAAATAATGAATAAAGGATACAGTATAAGAGAACAATTTAGGTATGGATTAATTAAAATCGAGTAAGGGATAAAAGGAGCTGAAGAAATATTTTTGTCAGAAAGGGGGTTTTGCGGAGATTTTAGTAATTTAATAGTTGAGTTCATGAGTCAATTCAAGCTAGACCAACATGGACAGTGGTGCAATTTCATGAATTGGTTGAAGTTAAACATTAACACCGTTGAATGCCGGCTCAGTGGTTTAAAGGTTAAGCGTTCGTGCGTGAGACCGATTGGTCCTAGGTTCGAATCCCGTGGGGTGGGGTTATGGATACACATTACGAAGGAGTCTAGGTTTCTCATGGTGGTCTGGCTTTAATTGGCTCATGAATTCAACTATTAAAATATGTTTGTATTGTAAGTTTTTAAATCAACAGTATTCAGTGTACATTGTGTGTAATTTGTAATCTCTAACGTTCATGCTTAACCAGGAACTATATTAGTAGTCCTAAAGTTACTTTTGCATCCTTATAAAAGGTTTAAAAGGATAGATTTTTTGCATCCATATTGATGAATGTTTTTCAATTTACTGATAGAAAATTCCATAGATGTCAGTAGGTATAACAACTATCCTACGACCGATTTCGATTATGGTTAATTTTGGTTAAGCCTTTTTATTAACTTAACAGACAATGTCATTTGAATAGTAACAATTCAAATACTTCTTTGTATTGTTACGATCACCAGAAGACATGACACACTCTAGCTAAAATGTTGATCGCTTAAATATCACTTGACGATGATTCATTCTTCTCCTCATGTATATATATGCTCAAATCCTATTATTGGCTTTTGCTTTACCTTGTTGTGCCCTTATGTGATTTGACTATGAATTTACTTAAGTGATTGCTCGCATATACTTATTCGCCTCTCCGCTTCAAATTCGCTCGATGTGCTTATAGCTTTCTGATCTGCTCTATCCGCTAATAAATTGTAGTTGCCGCTTCATTTTGCCTTCTGATTTCAGACACCGTTAAGATTTATATGATAACGGTTACAAGGGTGATTAGTTAACGAAACAAAGCCACTACATATGATCGATTAATATGTATGAGATTTCTTTATGATGAGATTATAACAAGCGCAATGAATCTGTAGACAGTTTTTAAATATCACTGGTTGAAATCATGAGTCAATTGAAGTTAGACTACCATGGGAAACCTGGAAGCAATGGATGGCCGTTTCGTTCTAGTGTCTCCACAAAACCCCTTCTGATAGTTTTTAAATAATCAAAAAATCTTTTTGTAAATGGATTGTTTGTGGAAACAAAAATAATGGGATTTTAAAGTATAAATAGGTTTACCATGTTTAATGAATTGAATGAAGTCCTCTAAATCTGCTTATACATGTTAATGGAGAAAAATTAATATATATTCGCCCATATGGCTATAGAATATTTGTCTTATCTAATGTCTAAGAGAACTCATAATGACTTTTAGGGGTCTCCACATTGCTACGGTCATTTCTACGTTTAGTTCCAAGATAATATGCTTAACAAAAATAATCAATTCTAAAGATCATTTATATAATCGTTATCTAGAACATAATACAGATTAGTAAGCATATTTATAAAGAAAGGTTTCGTTAAGTTCATTGGCATGTAGTAATCACAAAGACGATAATCTCGATGCGTAAGATAGATTGAGAGTGTGTGATTTATGTTACTTATGTTAACAGTCATAAGTCGAAGTGAAATGATTGATAAGATCGAATGGAGGAGAACAGGAATGTAAACAGAGAGTAACTGTAATAGAAACGAGAATCAAGGAACGACAAAGTTAATGAGAGTTGGTTGATGGGAGATGTACAAATAAAGCATTTAGTGTATGGTTTTCATATTTTATGAAGACATTCTGTAATATTGTAATAAGTGATAAAGTGGTCTTCCCCACTTGAGTGTTCGTTCACTACAAGTGTAAAATGCATTTCCAGTTTAGTTCTGTCACAGAGTCTAAAGTCTTGAGTAGCATACAAAAGACAATAAATATTATAGTTTAATGAATATATGCTGGAACTGAATAGAGTGATGTAATTTACCATGATATCGGAAGTAAAGTTTTCGGTAGCCTTATTTACAGTCTGATGATATCAAGCTAAATTGAACATAGTAAAGGTTTGTGTGTTTATACTGCATATCAGTTGGAAGAAAGCTTCCAAAATAGCATTTTTGCTGTGCTTTATTACACGTACAACTAATAGTGCTACTAACAACATTAGTAATAATACTGATAGTCAATTCCTAACTTATTGATATTCCTTCAAAATGATTTCTCCACCTCGAATGAAGGAAAGTCAAGTTAGTCTTCTCCAGTTATAGACAAAATATAAATAAGTACTTTGGGTGAATGATGATACATAGTCATCTAATCTAAGTCAGTCAACTCCGAAATGTTATGAATTCAGAGAAGTCATTGTCATCTTATTCAACATCTAATCGATAATACTCCATTTTTTCAACGATCATTTTGTCAAAATTACATATGATTAGGTGATGATGATATTAATTTGTAGTTTGTGCATATGTAATCTACTTATAACGACGATTTTGAATAAAAGAAGTCTGGAATTTATCGTCCTAACATTCTGTAACTTAAAGTCCATTAATCTATATATAATCTAAACTTTCCACTTAAATATACATATACTGATAAAGAATGATTTCATGACGGTGATGTATGATTAAATAATAACTGAAATCAAACTATTTGTTCTGTTTTACATTTCAACCATTAGCATTAAATTTCAGCTAAATAATTACAGTTGATATGATATTTGACGACGCCTTTCACCATCTGAAGTCAAAATGATAAGATACAAGATGTTATGTTTGTTTACTTTTATGAAACTTGATTGGGAAAGCATGTAAATCATTGTGGTGCGTGCTACTTATATTGATATAAGTAGTATATGACGCAAGTCAGGAATGTAATGTCTGGCAGCAGAAGATGGGGAAGATCAGGAAAGGAAAAGCGAGAATAGAAAGCAATTAGTATGGAAATGCAAGAACAATCAAGTTCGAGACAATTATTGAACATTTTGCAAATTAAGTATTATCGTATGGTTTTCCTATTGTACCAAGTAACTCTGTAATTTTGTGCTAAATACAATTCGATTGTCCCTACCCATGTTCTGTTCACTACACCATTTGATTATGATAAATAAATATCAAATTAAATAATATATATGTATTGATGATTTTAATGAGACATTTACAGTAGTTTAACGGTAGTATTGTTTTTGATTAGCAGTGTGATGAAATGAGCTTCTACACTGATGGTAGTAAAAAATCCCAATAGCGTAGTGAATAAAGTCAATGATGCCAGACAGTAATCCGGATTGTAAGTATAACTGGAAATTGTACTAAATGTAAGCTGCCCGAAACCAATGGCAAGCTGAAAGAAAGGATGGAAAACGAAAGATCATAATTGATCTAAGAAGCAAAATTATTGTAAAATACTGAAGTAAAGACAAACAACTGTGTAACAAGCTTATTAAAAGAAACTTTGACCAAGGTAAAAAAAAGTCTAGTTCAGAAAGGGTTGAATTACAACACATCAAAATTTCGGGCGCCGAAATTCTTCATACGGCTGAATTCATCGTCTAAAACATCAAGACTAAATGAAGAAACTCAAAAACAAATACGACAAGTGGTAATGTTCTTGGGTTGGTGTAAAAAAGACTGCTTTCGACTAAAGGCATAAAAATGGAAGGCTCTACGGAAACAGAAAACAAGAAGAATTAAAATAATGATCTTTCCTAACCAGGAGCTTACCATAATAGTCATGAGTGAAAGGACTATATTTGGAACGATAAGAGGTTACTCAGAGATGATAGTGTATACCAACAAATGGAAACTAATCCCAACCAAAACTAAACGGCAATATCTATAGTACTCTAAGACAGACTTATCAAAGATGGATGACTAACAAGCAGGATTCATAGGTAAGAAAATCAAATGGATTTCTTGTTTCCCATTGTTATGGTTGACCGAAATCACACGAGCTGTATAGTGCGAAAAATCATTACACTTTCAAGGACATTTTGTATTTCAATAGAAATATCAATGGTGTTGAAATATGTGATGAACTCATTCGACTACTCTACCAAATGTTCAACACAATTCTTAGATCAAATGAAAGATATTCAAATCGCCAACAACAATTTGATTTCTTTGGATGTTACAGCGTTGTATACATCAGTTGAAGAAAATCTACCAAATCCTTGCCCCTCTCCATTGATATTAATCTTTCAAAATATAACAATTCTGAAAGTCGAAGTCTTAATGATCCCATAGACTCATGTCTAACAATATATTCCCTACTGAACGAAAAAAATTTGTGGACAAACGAAATAAAATCCATTAGGGTCTTAGATATCCGAATTAATTGCAGAAGCTGTTATACAGGGGCTAGGAACTCCGGTCTTACCAATGATAAAACCAGAAATCTGACTACATTGTGTAGACAATACGTTCGATGTCATCGAATGAGTTCATCTGAAAAGTGCTAATATTTGACCAATAACGTCTTTGGCGACATAAAATTCATATCAGAAAAGAAACGATACAACGAACTTTCATTTTTGATCAATAAAAAAGACTGGCATATATTGACGAGCAATACACACCTAACAAACATTAAATTATAGTAGTAACAATCTAGTAAGTTAAAAGTTGCATTGAAACAATTCCTAAAAGAATAAAGACATAATACAACACTAACATCACAAGGAAAGTGAAAGAAGGTACATAATGGACGTATTTAGGCAGGATTGATAATCACAAAACATGATTGAGAATTGTCTATCAAATGGGCCATAAAATACAGAACTTATAGAAAAAACCAACAAACGGATCATTCTACCCTACATGGAAAACATCTCAGAGACTATACTGGTTGTTAAGACTGCTAGGAATAAAAAGACACAATGACAAACAAAGATAAGTCAAACATGATCTACGGGATAGATTACATTTAATGAGGCAACGAAACAAGACCAAGTTCCCAAACCTTCATTTACGTCTACATGAACACCAGTTCACTAACAAATGCCACAACTCTGCCTCCCTCTTATCAACTCATATAGACAATTATGGACAAGAGTTCGACTGAGAGTTCGTTTAAATAATGAATGGAGAAAACATAAAGAAAACCAGAAGGTTCTTAGAAATCTGACAGTTTGATCATGTAGTTCATAAACATAATGAGATCGAATAATTCTATAAACAAATAAAAGATGATGGCAATAACTGTAAGGTAAGAGTTTAGATCAGGAGGGGAAAAGATCATTACAAACATGCAGATATGACCATACAGTATTCATAACCATTAAGACGATCACAAGGTTATTCATTTTTAACTTACAATGCCAAGATCATACTAGTAGCAGTAAACATAAGAGCATTTTTACTAACCAATTTTTTTTACTCGACCTTCGCCTTTTCCTAATTGATTACCACTACAATTAGTTTCCTAGCCTCCTGTATGGTAGGAGAATTTATGCTTTCTTTACTGGATATATTGAGCTGCATTATTTCAAGTTGTTCCGTTTGAATATCAAATTTCTCCTAAACTTGGTATTTTTCTTGTGTTGACGCCTTATTGCTAAAATGTTATCTGTCAGACTCCAGTATCAAGTCGGCAGTTGGACTATTCGTATTAGAAAACCTTAAAGTTCTTTAATTTGAAAGTATCGTAAGGTAACCTGTAAACCCTGATAAACAACGGGTTTATCGAATTTTAGATCAACAAAACAAGTTTTAGTCACTATGGAGAAATTTTGAACGCCAACTTTTTTTAAGAGGAGTGAGGCTGAAGTTCCCTATTGATGTGGGCGAGAATGATAATGATCGGTCGTCTGCTTAGTCAGATATGTAGATAGTCTGACAGGTGTCAGATGAGTTATATATATTCCCCTATCCTTATACTTATTATTATTGATTGTTCATTGTTGTTGGGTTGTGTTGGGTTTTTGGTGTGGAAATATATATTTAAGTTGTGGCCAGGCTAATCACGTGTTCTTGATCTGAGTTGTGTCGAAGTCCTGTAGAATAGACACTGGAAGGGAATCTAGTGTAGATATTTATCTAAGGTAAATTAACGTCCCATACGTGTAAACGTTGGAAACCCAACCGTTATAACACCTAGAAGAACAATAGAAGTTTCAGAACTAAACAATCCAGCTCAGAAAACACAGCACCTCAAACATATAAAATCGTGATATAGGGAACATCGCTACTATTAACGAAATACACTTATTATTTCTGACAGTTTCATTACATCTAGTCGAAACAATCTTTGTCGAAAGCACAGAAATATAGTTCGGTTTAGAACTTTTGACTAATTCAAAGTACCAACAAATACACGAACATGTTTTCTGAATGGTCAGTGTCCTAACTTGTCACTGAAGTGAATGTTTCATAATGAAAACCAATAAATACCCGATAATCATAATGTGTTTAAATATATATCGGAATGCTTAGGATATTCCTGCAAGATTTATTGAACACTTTCAGAGACCTTCAACTATTCATCAAGTAACGAGTACAAACAAGATACGTGATTTGTACTAGTTCATTACAAACATATTAGACATCAGATACAACTCTAAAAATACGATTTCTTCAAAGAGATATAACTATTAATCAAACTACATAGCTGTCACTTTTATAGTTAATATGATGTAAGTAAATGAACGACTTACTCTGTTCACTAATACCTTGTATCATTTTAAATCAATTTGCAAAATAATGACTAGAAACTTACAGGAATCAATATGGGCAATACCCCGGCCACATAAACAGCCAAAGCCACCTGTGAAACATAAAATACAATGAAATTAGTAATTGTGAAATATCATGTTACAATAATTTGTGACCAATTAACGATTATGTGTAAACATCTGAGCTGGAATATATAGTGAGTGATCCAGATTAATAAATTCTTTTTAAGATTTAGAATGACTTACCTGTGTGTTACCTGCTATAATAAAACCGATAAATACTACTGTGATTGTGGAAAGTTCTGCAACACAGTAAATCATAAATACACTTGTATATTGATTTAAGTCAGTCTTTATAACTATACCAATCGGGACCAAAATCGAAAGCGACACGAAAGCAATAACCCATGCTATGACTTTTACTAGAATTTCCACATTGATGATAGAGTATCCATGTGCTGCAGATATAGCCAATCCCTATTTAGAAATTCGAAAGCATTTGTTAAATATTTGTCCAAAGCGTATGGGATAGTTATGAAATGTATTTTATAGAAAGATAAGGATATATTTCTGACACTGTCTAGCACATACACAAATCCATGCAGTGCAGTCTCTATAACAGAACCATATTGACTAGATAATTCAATGACATCGACTTGATAAGATATTTTGATTATAAATGAACTTAATATTCTATTTTAGCCCTTTGTACTATTTAGTTTCATATTTAATAAATTGGATCATTTATTTACTCCATGAAGAAAAGACTGGAACTAGTCAGCGAAACGTCATAAATTCTAATTGTTGAGACATCATAAATATATCATTATGGAATAATTTACACACACGTCTATCTACGTGAGTTGTTACTAACACTTGTAAAATTGAGCTCACAAAATATGTCAAACTGTTCGAATTATTTAGCTTTAACTATTTTTAATAAACAATAAAGAGAGTTCAACAAGAATATTTTCTTTTAACTGTTAGATTGACACCTGCTATGTCTAGAGTTATATGTGCGATGTCTTATGGCTTCAGCTATATGTAGGAGGCGGGAACGAACTCCGTTGGGAAAGGATGGAACTAAACGATAGATCATACTGTAGATAAATCAGAAGCATTTCGAGTATGTCTAGAGTGTTTGTTCCTCTATTACTGCATACCTTTGGTTAATTATATTACATCATAAACAAAGTAATATTGAAGGACTATGTTGAAGCATTTGAATATATGGTAAATTTACTGTGGTAACTACATCTAGTAAAACTGATTATTTCTCAAGGATTTCTAAACAACTGGAAACCATTTAAGTCCCATGTTATTTTAAAAATCCGTAGGTTTACACATTTACTAAAATGCTTTTAAATGTCGTTGCGTCTTTAATTTAGTTGCACTCTGAATGTACTATAGCTAAACTCAACACAAACTTGTAATCACTAAACACATCGATTGACAAACACTCGTCAATTTTGAAATAGAGATGGTTTCATTCTTAAAATAGAAATGATGTGACTTCATGAAAGTTGCTGCTGATCATGATTAGGTCAACATTAATATTACAGAATAATGTATGTTATAAGATGAATTTATGATTGTCCAACTATATTTCCCTGATGATTTGAACACATGTTAACTATTATGAATGGTTCAATCATAGGGACTTATTTCTTTATATTTGAAAAGAAAAAGAAAAATTATGTTTTGTTTTATAATTTGCATCCCAACGAACCAATATACATATACATAATGAGGTAGACATACATTCCTTTACTGGTGTAGTAACAGCTAAAAAGAGTCAACAGGAGGGTTTGCAATTCCAATCAATATGTATATTGGGTTCTGTTGTTAAATTCAGTTCTAGATTATATCGACGTCATCTATGTGAATGAACATGTTTCAAACATGATGAACTTTGAAGTGTCAAGTGCTAAACACCTGAAAATAATTTCACCAACTATATCGATCGGAAAGATATAATTATTATGAGTAGTAATGATTATCAGTGAAATAATAGTTTCTCACGTATAAAATTAACATTATTATATTCAGGGGATACGTTTCTCTCATCTTCCGTAAAATAACCAACATCATTCCTAGAAAAAAACCAATAATACTGAAAAAAAAAACAGCATTACATTCATTATATATTTCTTGTTATTTGTGTATATTTAATAACGTAGTAAGTAGAACATCGGAATACTTCATAACAATATTAACAATATATAAGTAGACTGAGTTGATTTGAAAGATATAGATAATAATGATGAATGTTGTGTAAATAATCTGATTGTAAATAAAGAAACACTGTTAACACTTAGTCTTAAATCAATTTTTTTTAGCTAGAACATAGATAAATTGTGTCGTCCTCTTATAGATCTTATCAGTAGTATGGATCTCGTAACAGTGGATCTAATTCAGGATCACTGGGAATGTTTATAATTCTTCTATCATCAAATAGGTGAGTACGGTAATGAGTTCTTAATGAAGATGATATGCTTCATATAAATACTTGTAATCCATCAAATGAATTATGAAACATATCACCTTCATTAGGAACTCATTACCGTACTCATCTATTTGATATGATCAGAGTGACTTGTTCATTTCGAAGTAATCTGCAATAAATACTCAGTAAAACCGATTATTCTTTGTCGAAAAGGATCTGGTGGGACAGTATACGGTTTAATTAAAAGTTGACCCATTTAGAAGCTAATATTTAAAGTCGTGATCTATAAGATAGAAATTATAACAAGTTATATATTTCAATTCATGTAGCTACGTGATCAGACCCCTATTATGAAATGATCGGTTCTATTATTGAACAAATAAGTTTAAATAAGTTAATTAAAGTCGGAAAAAGGTATGAAAACGGTGATACTTTTTCAAAATAAAAATTTTCTTCAATCATAAGTTGAATTGTCTTCTCTTATATTTCACATCCAGCTGAAATGAAAGATTTTAAGAGTAGCCGTCTTGTTTCCAGTTAATTCGTGTCTAGTCAGTACATATCCACACTTGTTAACTTATTGATCTACACTTTCACATTACATTATATGCTATATGTGTGAATGATGGATGAAAGTTTTTAAGGAATGACAACATATCTGCCTATTCAACACAACTTCATACATCAAATAATGGGAAGATTGAAGATTTAACTGATGGTAGGTAAACTGTCACTTGATACTTCTATTCCTTTGATAATATAAATTGTCTTGTAACAATAATCTTGTTACAAGTTCGTAGACTCCATTTGTAAAGTTAATTACATTTAAGAGAAAAATGATTATATTGTAACATTCTACTCTGGTTAACTTGAAACAAACAAACATTTGATTGGATTTATACAGATTTGTAATGATTTAAAATATATTCCAGTAGGATACAACAGATATTAAACTTGAATATGTTCATATACATATCTGTGTAAAAATTAACATAATAGAATACAATATGTTCTTCCATACACATGTAGTGACCTACTTTTATCAAGAGAACACGATTGGTGTAATGGAAACAATTATTATTATAACTAATTGTACCATGGATTGTTTTACTGTACTTGTTTGTTTAACTGTACCAAAACACATACATTCTTTCGTTGACTATGACCTTGCACGAATTCGGTTACGCTCAGTAACCATAGTTGTAATCTGGCATGATCTCTGTCTTTTTTCGGTACTACGAGATCGCCCACAAATACATCTCGACTACAGCCATCAACTGCCTTCTGATATTTGGCCTATGGGGGATCTTATCAGTTAACTGGCACTCAGTCTTCCTCTAGTGGTGATCATAGTCAACCGTGACTCAACGCCACATTACACACTGATGATATCTATGATTATTCAACTTACATTATGAACAAAAGCTGTATTATCTTTAGTTGAACAATTAAAAACACGTTAAAATGTATTGAAACCTATCTGAATGATGTAATATAGAGGTAGCTTACTTAATGTTGTAAATAACTGTAATATTATATTCATTAATAATGATATGATGATTGAATATAAGCACATTATGTAAGTATAAATTGAACATACTTGAATACACTTGTGAAAATTGTTATACATGTCGCCGATTTAAATTCTCTACCTCTAATGAATAATAATTTTGATCATCAATTAGCTTACAACAAGGATAAGGTTAGTGTAACAATGATTGATAAAATTGATAGTACACTAGTAAGTATTAAAACCTAAAATTCAATAATAATCTCAATTGAAAACAAACCATTGCAGTGTATGGTAATTTGGGTTGTAGAGCATTCTGTTGAAATATATGCTTTATTTTGAAACCCATATTGCAGAACAATACTGATGATGTTTATTGACGATCTCAATTTACATTTATTGACTGAATGGAATGTGCTTGTTTCTACAACATATATAATATTGCAAAAATCAAACAATAATAGCGAAATAAAAGTTCACGTATGGAATAACTATTAATTTGAATAACAGTATAGGGTTGTGGAGATTGTTAACTTTTGATTGAGATCATGAATCGATCAATATTAGGCCACCATTGAAAACCTAGAAGCAATGGACAACCGTTTCGTCCTACAATGGGGCTCCTCAGCAGCACGACAAATAGCATATCAATTAGTTTACATAATCTTACTAGTCATAAGCTAATACAACCTTTCTAAAGAGTATCAGTTGGTGTGATAAATATAGTTCGTTTTTATTTAGCAATGTGTTAAGTGTTATAATTAATCGGCAAGTAGTCCATAAGGTCTAATCAAATTGAATCGAGAACATGGCATTGTCTAGTACTGATGACATTCAAAATGATAATATTGAGCTTATCATCTAGTTAATTTTGTAGATTGTACATAGGCATCATAACCCATAGCACATAATCGTAAGACCAAAATCAATCTATTGGCATTATATTTTACAGACGGATTGTTCACAGAGTGTATCTAAAATTTTTGCTCGAAGTCTGTTCATCTGTATGGCCGAAAGGACAAGTGAAATTTATGAATTACTTTGAACAAACAAAACTAATCACCACAATTGATTAATAGTTTATTGTGTATACAGATCAAATCACATACTCACGTTTGCTGAAGTATCATCAAGAACCTTGAATTCGTGAAAAGATATTTGGTTGGAATCCATTAAAGTATACATCTACAACTCTACTGAGAATCAAACTTCAAAATATCTACGTAATACCATGAGTATTTCACTTGTTACCAAGTAAACTAATATCCAGTAGCATCCTATTGTAGCTTCATTCCTATTGTGATATTACACAATGGTCTTACAACGATAGTAATCATAAATACCCTGAAGAGCCTCTGTAATTCATCTGAAAGTCATTTCCAAATGAATGCATGGTTATTTTACAGTTAATTGGATTATAGAAAAGAATCTTCATCAATAACTGAAATCCAACAATAGTCAATTCACTACACTCACATTCTGTTGTTGATTAAGAAGTTGTAATTTAACGTAAAGAAAAAACTTTTTCATAGAATGTCGTCACCAACCGTATTGAAGTATTCCGACTACGTTTTGAAATAAAGTTAAATGTTACCATGTAAATATACAAATGATTGGAACTAATACCAATCACATAACTGTATGTTATCCAATGATTATTCCTTTCATCTTTAAAATTTGTAAATGGACTTTGAGTCGAATAACCAACAATTGAATTAATTGTTGAGAAATAATGATGAATACACTTAAACTATACAACTAGATTGTAAAGTATCATTTTCATATTATTTATATTCAATCCTATTCAATACTATGAACTCAGTTTTAATGTAATTGAATTATGATTAAAAAATCATTCACTGTTATTTTGTATTAAGAGATTTATTAGTGTTTAAATTGTATGATTCTTCAATATGATGTGATGTTGAAGTTATGATGAGAATAAGCTTCCGTAAGTTATTACTTCTCGACAAAGACTATATATTTCAAACTAACTTATCAGAACTCAGTAGCTAAGTAAATAACGCGATGGCGTTTGAAGCGAGTGGTACTGAGTTGGAGCCCCATAGTGAACATCAACTCTGAGGTGAAGGTACATCCAGCTGACGAGTCCCACATAAGACGAAACGCTCATCCTGGGTTCCACTATCCATCTTTACATATTCATTTCTTTTTCTAATTTCAGACGATTTCTTAATGATTCCACTTCAACTAATCAAAATAACTATTTCACATTGATTATTTCATCCATATGATAAGGAATGCTTGATGAAAAAAAAGAAGACAAACAATCAATCATATGGTCACTATTATTCAGAATATTGTTAAACGTCATCCATTAAAATGTAATCCAATTTATATGCAAATTATTTCATCCGTTGAATATTGAATGAATGAACGAATGAATGAATGTTGATGAAAAAGAAGCAAACCAAATATCTTTTGTTGTTGTTGTTGTTGTTCCCCCCCCCGTTTTTTAGACGAAATAATAAATACAAATAGAGCATTATATCTATTCACAATGTGTTTACTCTTATTGATAGTTAAAAATTCATAGTGAATGTTGTTTGTATACATTATTTTGTTTTTGTTGTTGTTGTTGTCAAGTTTACTATAATTTCTACATGACGATGATAATGATGGTGATGATCATCATTTATCATCAACTTACTTTTTAGCTAAGTTATCTAAACTCTAGAACTCGTTATTATGATACTTTTTCATATAGATCAGAAAGATTGATTCAACTGATCTCTATTTCATCTTTTTCTTTTAACGAATATTATTTAAAACTAATAACTTATCACTTCTATTGATTAGGTGTTTACTGTCTTTAAGTTGATGTTCTGAATGTATAAAGATTTGCTAAGTAGATTTACAATATTATGATTATCCAGTTCCTTAGTGTTAATCAAATTCTATCTGTCAAGTTCCAATGTAGACATAAATGTGAATGATTCAATTTCAGGTGCAACATCAGATGATTAATGTAATTTGCAAGAAATTTTGTAGAGTGCTAACTAGTACAAAAGTTAAGTACAAGGTTTCCTATTATGAATGAACACGTTCATAAATGATTGATCACTGGGTGGCGATCAATGTCATGCGTGAGGTTTCCCCGCGTGAGTTCGAATACCATCCCCGTCGCCACTGATAAGTCTTGTTAATTCGATTCCTATGCTATTCTGTTAACCCGAATGCTAGAACTACGCAGCGAACTAAACTCAAGAGAAAAGGCGCAAAATGAGCGAAAAATACTTTACTCATTTTTGTACAGAAAAACACGGTTATTTATAGATGTTAACATTTGTTAAACCAATATCATATTTTGGCTAATCCGCTAAAAGACATATTATGCTACTCACCAGTAGTAGCATACCACATTGATATTCTAGAAAGCTCACTCATGCTCTGATTGGCTAAAACTCTTCGGCTCCTTTAGGGCCTCTGGAGGCTCCGTTGCAGTTCTCGGGAAGCCGACTCAACACTAAGTACATAGAATACATAGAATATTTAGTACTTATTATTTTTCATGTAGGAGTTTACTAATGGATTATTGAAGTAATATAAGTAATAAGTTCAATGATAAAAATTGCTCTGAAAAACTGATAAACAAACAAGTCACCAGTTTTATAGTTCATGTGTACATACTTGAAATAGTACATGATATAGTGTTATAATTTTCGATGTAAACACTTCCTAACCTTTGATAGGGATAGTAAGATAACTAAGAATGAGTAAGAAGCTTTATCCTTAACATTTGATGAATGTGTACATAAACTAAGTGAGCATGTTCATGGTACTGCAATAATGCAGGAAAACATATGTGAGAAGCGTGACCTTAAGTTAGTGAATAACATGTTTATTTACAACGTTCTACCCAAACTTGAATTTCTCACTACCATATGGTCTTGAAAAGAAAAGGTGGTTTTCCTATGGCATAGTAATTCTTAAACGTGCAAGTTTTAGTCAGAAATAGTTAGTCTTGATGACATATTTTGTCATCAAGCAGTAACAACATAATTTTGCATTAATTAAGTCAGTCAAACACATCAGTTGGTGACGGATAAGAAGTAAAATTATTTGATTGAGATCATAAAAAGGTTGATGTTAAACCACCACTGTAAACCTGGGAGCACTGGATGGCTACTTCGTTCTATTGTGGGACTCCTCAGCAGTGCGCATTCACGATCCCGCTCGCGTGATTTGAACCCATGTCCTTCAGTCTTGCGCGCGAACTCTTAACCTCTAGACCACTGAGCCGGCATCCAGCAGTGTTAATGTTTAATCTCAACCAATCCGCGAAACTGCGCGACCATCTTCCATTGTCTGAGGTAGATACCTGTCTGGTTCTGACATGGATTAGCTTCACTGCTCACGGCTTCTCACTATAGCCCCGAGAACTCCGTCACAAAGCTAGTCACTAGTGAGCACATGGCACTTATTAATAAAGGGTTGTGGAAATTATAATGTTTTTGATAATAGTGATAATAGTAATCTCCAAAACTCTATACTGATGATCTCATTTGAGCTGTGGAATTAATTAACACCAAACTGAGAATCATTCAGAGTCGGAAATTTTCGGACAAATAAGTGAACTCCAATCTTAGATAACACCAAGAAACACAACTTAATTTAAATCCATAATTAGGGTTTCGACGTACTTTCACTTCTGTCTACATATAATAGTAATCTTAAAGAAAAGTAGAGTCACAAACAGTTTCATAGCCTCATCATAAACTTCTAGTATGCATAAACCATTAGTCCTTAATTTGAAGTAAATAATGACTGAAATGTTACTCCTGAGTAATATATTTTTTCAGGAAAACTAGTTATTCTGCATATGATGAAAAATCATGTTGAACAATCTATACAAACCTTTTTGATCCCATAAGAGCTGACCAACTTTCAGTTGTTTCATGTTCATAGAATAATTCCAAACACTTAAATACGATATCATAACCGATAAAATTAATCTGTTTCAAAATTAAAAGTTACTATTGAAAGTACCTAATGTTTCTCTGCCTTTTAAGTAGATTAAATTCGGAAAAATTAACTACTGAATTCCTATTCAGTAGTTGACAAAGCTATTTTAGAATTAGGCAAATCTCTATCAACCACTCAAGTACATCAATATTATTATCAATAAATATGTCTAAGTATCATCCTCTACCCGTCAAACGAAAATGGATGATCATTTCTAATTGTATAACTGATAAATATCTTCATAGATCGTATAAATTACGCAGTACCAAATATCTCAGTGATACACAGTTACGAAAATCTTTATTCTATTATTTGCTAAAACAAACAGGAAACTTGATTTTATCTCAAAAAATCTTCTGACATATAACTAATATTCTATACTGTATTGTTCATTTGTTTTAATGTACACCGAAAATGTTTACATGTATTATGGTTTTTATGTTTTACATTCTCATTTAAGTAAGAAAGGGATTTAGTTTATTGTTGTCTGAACCGGAAATATTGTTTGCTGTATTTTTTTTGTTCTGTTGAAAAGCATGAAGTTTCACTAATTCCATCAGTGGAAAACAGAAATTGTAAATTAAAGTATGAGTTTATGATTCTCTGTCGTTTATGTTTAGCATAATAATTGATCGATTTGTGTAGCAGTACATGAGTTCTGATTAAATTGCTGCGACAAATAGTTATATCAGATGGGTTTTGTGGATAATATAGTAATTTCAATGGTTAAGATCATGAGTCAGTTGAAGCTAAACAACCATGGAAAACCTGTAAGCACTGGACGGCGCACTGGATGCGCACTTCTGAGGAGTCCTACAATAGGACGAAACAGCCATCCAGTGCTTCCAGGTTTTCCATGGTAGTCTAGCTTCAACTGACTCATGATCTTAACCATTGAAATAATTATATCACAAATCTAATCATTTTCGGTGTTTGGTTATCAGTTAAATTCCAGGAACGCTTTTTTGTCATATTCAGGACCCTTCATCTTAGTGTAATCATATCCCGGTATTGATGTTCATAATGAGATTCGAATTCATTATGCTTCAAACGCCATTCCGTTAATCGCTGACCCATTGTATCCAGGTACATAAAGCTGACGGGCCCTATATAGGACAAAACTCATTTTCTGAATCCCTCTGTTAACCAGAAGTCAAATATAATAAAATCTGTGTTGGATGCAATTTGTTACGATGAAAAGCTGAAATTGTTTATTATGGCTCATTTAATTTATGATTAGTAACTCTAAGGTGTTTGTACTATCCACAAGGGACCCTACGGTTCTGAATACAAGCATGTTAAACGTCAACGGTAACAAGTGGTGTCAATGTAATGATAAATAGTATCTTAAAATGAAACAATATCCCGCAAATACCAAGTTGAATTCCTTCCACACGATAAATGAATTCCGCTGACACGTCTTTTGCTTACGTGTTAACTGATGTTGAGTTAAGCAAACTCATGTGTTATTACTTGAAAGAGCTTGTAAAGATTGCTGTATGGCATAATCTACTTGATGTTACTTACCCACCAATGATATTGAGAAGTAGTTGAACTATATCACTGATTGGTTAAAATTAAACATGAAAGAAACGGGATGCCATACTCAGCATGTTAACTTGAAAATACGCACCAGTCTAAAAGCTAATAAGAATGAAAGTTGATCAACTTGATCGTTGTGTTCAGGAATGTTTAATCCTTTATCGTACCATTAACATAACACTCCT